ATGTGGAAAACTGCCCTGCCTTTTCTGGTAGGCAAATGACATAGCATCTCTCATGTACCAGTGGGTGGTGTTTTCACCTGTTTGTAACTTCTTTATCTTTGAAGCTGTTTTTGTTTTTTTGCAGACTTAGCAAACCCACACCCCTCTCTATCTAATCTATGTATCTATTGCATCTCTAGAACATCTGCACTTGTGCTATGTGGGTGCACAGGATGACATAGATGGCAACTTTTATCCAAACTGGCTTTGAGTTATCCAGGCAGAGAAAGGCATGAGTAGGATTTTATCTTTAAAAGAGCAGAAATCCCCCTCACTCCATTCCAAAATACCTGCATAATAATTTTAAAAGAACCACTGAAAAGAAAAATGAGAAAATTCAGCCCAAAAGATAATTTTCCTAGAAACTTACAAGCCACTGAATAAAGCACTTAAAAAGCCAGTGATGTTTAAAGTACACACAAGTATTAAGGGAACATATTTATCTTCTATAACTTTAGATGAACCATCTGATGTTCTGATTACTATTGGAAGTGACCAAAACTCAACTGGCAGCATATGGTGTGAACTGAGTGTGCATCTGAAGAGCATCAGGTTGCTCTCATGCAGATGTGCTGAGACCACTGCCTGTCATACTGACCAATACTGTCTCATTGTTTCCTTTTATTCACATCTGTCTGTATCCACCTGTTGTCTCCTGTCTTTTACTTAGGCAGTAAGCTCCTTGGGGCAGGGACCTTTTTTTGTTCTGTGTTTGTACAGCACCTAGCTCGATGGGGTCCTGGTCCATGCCGGGGGCTCCTGGGCTCTGCCCAGACACACATTATTATTTATTCTTTGTGCTGTGTGATGGGGAGATGGAATGAAGCACAGATGACGGATACTAGTCTCACCATCTAATGCATTACTGGAAGGCACTCACATACTATGGTGATGAGGGCACTAAAAAGTACCTATATGAAATGGAATGTATGTATGGGAAGCCCAGTTACTCTCATTGATGATACACGGAGCGTGTTTGTGTGTGCATGTAGAGAAGTCCCTGAATGCCTAGTCACCCCTAGTGAGCAAACACGGTAGGTAGGTACACATATCTGTACGCTGAAGGAGCCTGCTCATAGCTGGGCCTTCTAATTTTGAGCAGGCCCCGAGAATACAGACTGTGCTATTCTTTCCTTCCAGTGATCATTAGAGGGTCTCAAGTTTTGAGGGCTGGTGCAACATCATCCCATATCAGTATGGTGCTGCAATGGAATGATGTTTCATCACCATATCAGGATGTTGTTCAATGAACTGACCACACTGTGATGGAAAGCATTTGTCTCATAAGGTCAGTGGTGAGCTGGAGCCGGTTCGCAAGAACCGGTTGTTAAATTTACAAGCCGGTGTAGAACCAGTTTTAAAGGGGCCAGTGGGTGGGCAAACTCCGGCCCGTGGGACCGTCCTGTCCGGCCCGCCTGAGCTCCCAACTGTAGAGGCTCCCCCGGCCCTTCCCCCGCTCCCCTCACAGAGCCCCAGCACGCCGCACCTCTGGCGCCAGCGCTCTGGGCAGCTCTGCAGCTCCTGCAGCTTTGAGCAGCATGGTAAGGGGGCTGGGGCTGGGAGGAGGGGTTGGATAAGGGGGCAGGGAGCAGTT